TATTACGAAATGACAAAATCTATCGTTCTACTGTCAAAACATTAAGAAGGCGATATAAAACAGCTCAATACAAATTAAACGCGATCTCGTTGCCCCACAATGTCGATTTTTACAGCCGAACGTCCGATTTCGTCAGATTTACTGACGATAATCCTAACGACTTCGCCTGTTCCATCTTCCCCGTCATCTGATCTAATTAAGGACACACTTACATCGTTGCCCAACTCGTTATCAAAGGTTCCTATTATTATTACCTTTGATAATTTTACTGTTGCCTTAAGCGAACGCGGTAAATTGAAGAAAGGATATGTTCCTCAAGACCTAGCGAATCGATATCCTGCTTATATTGAAAATGTTTGCAAATTATTTGGCGACGTTTCCTGTTTATCTGATGATCTGGAATGCTCAGTTTCATCTAGCTTAGATCGTAATGTGACCTTCCTTATATTCAAAAAACGAAATGGATTTGCTTTCAGTGTCAAAATTGCATTACATTATGTGAAGACACCATATGTTATGATTCTTCAGCACGATTGGCTCTTTACGTCTCCTCATCCACCAATGTCTCATCTTTTATCAATATTGCAAACTGAAGATGAAGTACAATACATTGGTTTCGTCGCACGCATGTCACTAAATTATGAAACAAGTAGAGGTCAATCACATTCCTACTATCGTTATATCTTTTCTCAAGCTCGAAATCTTCGATCAGATCGTCCCTTTAGTAAAGACCTAATAGCTTGTTTACATTGGTTTGATAGACCACATCTATGCTCCGTCGAAACATATCGCCAAATTTTTGGCATGTCAATCGTCAAACGAGGAAATTTTCTTGAAGACACATTCGGCGTGGAGTATATACAAAGCATGAAAAATGCATTAACTAAAGAAGCTGCATTTGAAGAATGGAAAAAATGGGGTGCATGGATGTATTATCCTGATAATGGCAAGACGGTCACTGTTCGTCATCTCCATGGTAGAATAAATTTATTGGGTGAAAGGCAGGAGGAAACTATAAAGAATATGATCAAAGCGAATATAGAGAAGCGTGCTGCATCAGTTAGCGAAGAGAATGAGAGATGGAATATGGATGATGATACTATTGACGAACTCAGTGTCGATCTTTAACAGAGCGATTTTATTGTGTTTTTAAGTCAAAACTTCGAAAAAATGATGATGTCAAGTGTTACTAATGAGGTGAAAGTAACGTGAGCTTTGAAGCAAAATTGGAATTGTAGAAAAGGAAAATGAAATTGTTTCGAATTCCAGAATCCAATGGTGGTAACTGCTTGTGTCAATATGAAAGACAGTTGGAGTGTGGGTGATTGTATGTGTAAGTATGAGTCTTCTCTTTAATCATATCAGTACAGCCGTACTCTATCAAAATCTACATACACGCCCACACCCACATGCATCAGGATCATTTTCATTTGTAGAAAAATGAATGTATTTAATTCTTGTCATCATCATATTTCACCGTGCTTTTTTAAAAGTTCTATTTCTTGGCTATTATCATTGTGTAACAGTAATGAAATTTTTGAATTTATTGTTTGTTATTTTTGTCCGACCAACAAACAAGAAGTCAATACATTAAATTTGCTAGAAGCAACCATGAGTATATTGTATAAGTCAACAGACTATGATAAATCAACATTTGAGAACACTCTAAAAACCAAAATCTCAACAATAAATTACTGGTCAAGCGATAAATAGTACATATCGACGATGTTTATATTGATTTTTTCGATGATAAACTATGTCAGTCGCATGACTTATAGTATACGATTCTATAACAAATGCTGTGTAGAAATGTTCACTATCATGAAAAAATAAATTCATATGTTTGACAAATCGATAAATTATATGCGACCATAAAAGCAATAATGCTCGAAATAATTTTACTGAAAAAATATTTAAATTCATTTGTTTGAAGCCAGCAAGCTAATGAAACTATGTCAAGAGTCAAATTGCTATTAGTAGCTACTATGAATAAAATCATACGTTGCGTTTAAGAGATCACCACGAGTTTTAAATATCAGTCTGAACAAGATTATTGCCATATATACTTTTCTGCACTTTGTTTCCATCATACACTAAAATATTCGACTGTAGAATCGATCAGATATGAGTTTTTTTGAAGGTAAAATCCAAAGTATTCCGCATATACATGAAACGTTTATGTTCTTCAATAACGATGTCCATGACTTTAATGAATAATAATTAACATCTTTCCAAGCAATCTATGCCTGATTCTAGTAACTTCCGATTCTATTAACTACTTTGTTTTGAGCATGTGAAAGTAGGAGGGATTTGATATTGTAAACGAACAAAACAGAATCAATAGCATGACGAGTCTTTATTACGTATAATAGTCACGTTGCAAGAGAAAATTTACTTTCTTCCTATACATAAACACGTTGCAAGTTAGAGAAAAAAAAGTTACTTCCTTTCTATGATCAATGCGTCATGTCGCCGATAACGCACATATATTACCATCACTTATTCTACTAGTTACATTTTAATTGGTAAGTAGAATCACATGAAGACATGATAGTAACGCTTCTTTCTACTTTGCTTACACATTCTAACATAAGTGTACGTCGATGCTTTTATTTTTGTTATCCATATCCTACATTCTCTTGGGGAGAAATGTTTCTTATTGTTTCCTTAGATATGTCATCACAATGAATTTTCGTTTTTGGAAAACGGATTAGATGATAACTTTAAAGCCTTCTCAGAGTATGCAGACAGTTTTGTAATTATATAAGGTTGTCTTGATGGGAAATGACCTCAGAGAATGACTGAGAATGTTTTTATTTTCTCGGAACATGATGCTCCATACTGAACGATTGTTTACATCTTTCTTGAAAAGTAGAGAACAAGTAGTTTCTTGTAATCGAAAGTCGATCACTATTTCTCTTACGAAGATCTTTTCAGTTGCCTATTTTTTTCCAAACAAACCTAATTAGTCAGCAATATCAACGAATATTCAGAGTTTAAAACACTCGTTATCCAAAAAAAAATCACAGACAGCTATGACATGGTGAGTGATGTGGACACTCACATATCTCTCGTTCCATGCAGAACTAAAACTTTTCTTTCATTATTGCGAGATTCGAAACCGATTATTTTCTTATAGAACTTACTGTTTGCCATTACAATCGCGCAACCACTTTATAGTGCTTTTATCATCCATTACAACACGTTTGATTATAATGAAAAACTCATCGGAAAAAATGAACCGAACTAGCAATAAAGAGGACGTCACTCTGATTTGGTTCGATTCTAAGATGGAATTGAATAATGATGCAGAAGAAATAAAGAAGCGTCTACATCAAATCAATGATTATGTTGTGTTTCATACTCAACTTGAATCTTGTATTACTTTCATTCAATCAATTGAAAATGAAAAAGTCTTCTTGATTTCTTCAGTTTCTGATATCTTGCAAATACTATTCCGTATTGAAACTCTACCTCAAATTGATATCATCTTTGTCTTCAACTGGGACAAAGTCAACTCTGAACAACTATTTATTGAACATCCAAAATTGATTGGTAGATATCATGAACTCGATTTATTATGTTTATCAATCCAAGAACAAATAAACTTTCTCGACCGACATATACAAACATTCAGCTTCTTCGATCAAGATGAACACATGACAAAGGATCTATCAAAACAAACCGCTGATTTTCTATGGTTTCAACTTTATCACGATATTCTCTTTCAATTACCATACGATGAAAAAGCAAAACAAGAAATGGTCAATGCATGTCGTTCCTATTATCGAGACAATATCAAAGAATTGGAAGTGATTGAGAGATATGAAAATGACTATCGATCAGAAGAAGCCCTTCAATGGTATTTGAGAAAAACATTTCTTTACAAAATCATCAACAAAGCTTTGAGAGTTAAAGACTTTGATCAACTTCACATATTTCGATACTTTATGAAAGATCTAACAGAGAATTTCGTTCAAAAGCATCAAAAATTGGTTCAGTCTAGTAAAAAATTATTAATCACCTATCGAGGAATGAAAATGACGAAGGATCAAATCGACAAATTCAAAGAGAACGAAGGTAAAATGATTTCAATCAATGGTTTCCTCACAACAAGTATTCTTCGTTCAACTGCGTTGGATCAAGCGTTGAAATCTATGACACAAACTAATCTCGTTTCCGTTCTCCTTGAAATTCATGGTGATCTACAACACCTTAGTAACGGTGTCATTGTTGCTGATTGTTCTCATTCCAGTGAATTCTCATGTGATGAACAACAAGAAATTCTCTTCAATTCAAATGTCACTTTTCGATTGGATAGTGTGAAAATGGAAGAAGAAATATGGTTGATTAAAATGAATGCATCGAATGAAGGTCAAAGTATCAAAGAAAAATATATCAAAGACTCACATCGTCAAAGGGAAGATCTGAGCATCGAGCTTCTCTTTGGACGATTGATGTGTGATATGGGTTTATGGAATCAATCACAACATTTCTTAGAAAATTTATTGAACAACTCGAATAACAACAAGGAAGATCTGTCGATGGTTGAATGTAGTCTTGGTGAGGTTCTTCAATGGAAAGGAGAATGGAATGAAGCACGGAAATATTATGATCGTGCCTATGATCGAATAATGAAAGACACACCCACATCGATCAAGAACTTAGCATTTATAATCTTTAATATTGGTGAAATTCTTCATCTGGAAGGAAAGTACGAAGAAGCTTGCGACTATTATGAACGAGCATTAGCAATGTGTAAGGAAAATTATCTCTCTACCATGGTGGATAGGTCCTGCCCAGAGAATTATGAACGCAGCAGTGTAATGAGTCATGTTCGCGGATTGTTCCGACAGATTTTATTGAATTTTGGCGGATTCATTCAAATTTCTTTTCGATGGTTTTGGAACAGAGGATTTCGAGGAAGTTTTGGCCGATTCTTATCGAAATATACGGCCAACAAAACAGAGCAAGTCGGCAAAGAATTGACTGCAAGACGTATGTTAAAAATGTGTCGAAATATACAGGAAATTGGACAATTGCAAAAGGGTGAGAGAGACACAGGTGATATTGCCCTTATTGCTGCTAGTCTCCGTGGTTTTGGCAAGATCTTCGATCGGCAAGAACAATATGATGAAGCACTTTACTCTCATGAACAAGCACTGACAATGTTCGAAAAATATTATGAATCATCTCATATCGATATCGCTGTTAGTTATTACTATATAAGCCAGGTTCTTAGGCATCAAGGAGAATATGAAAAAGCTCTCGACTTCAGTCAACGAGCATTATCAATTTATACGAAATATTATCCAAATGGCCATGCATACATCGCTTCCATTCTCAACAGTATCGGTCACATTCTCTACTGCCAAGGCAAACATGATGAACCTCTGAAGATGTTTGAACAAGCATTGGCTATGCTGCAAAAGTATTATGCATTTGGTCATGTTGAGATAGCATTTGGTCTCGCTGGAATAGCAAATGTTCAATATCAAAGAGGAAAATACGATCGATTTCTGGCATTTAATGAACAGGCGCTTGAAATTTTACGGAAATTTTATTTTCCTGGTCACGATGAGATTATCTGTATTCTCAACAATATTGGCTATATAAAAAATGAACTAGGAAAGTATGATGAAGCTCTTGATTTTTATCGACGAGCATTGGACATGCAAGAGAAATTTTATCCATCTTATCATGCTAACATTGCTGACACTCTCAATGCCATGTGTAATGTGCTACGTTGTCAATCAAAATATGATGAGGCTCTATGCTATTGCCAACGAGCACTAACAATGCAAGAGAGCTATTATCCATCTGGACATGCTTCAATAGCCTTGAGTCTCAACAATATTGCTATCATTTTAATCGATCAAGGAAAGTACGATGAGGCTATTGGTTTTCAACAAAGAGCACTTGCAACTGTCGAAAAGTATAATCCATCAAATCATTCTTCCATTGCTATTTATATGAAAAACATCGGGTTTATATTAAACAAACAAGAAAAGTATGATGAAGCTCTCGATTTTCATCGATGTGCACTCAAAATAGAAGAAAAATATTGTCCATGGCATGAGCGTGAGATTGCCAAGACTCTCAGTTTTATCGGTGTTATTCTCGTTGCACAGCACAAATATGATGAAGCCTTAGAATTTTATCATCGCGCACTTGAAATGCAAAAGAAATTCTGTCCTGATGGTCACATCGAAACCTCTCATACTTATAACTTGATCGGTAATAATTTATATGATCAAAAGAAGTACATTGGAGCTATAGAGCTTTATGAAAAAGCCTTGGCTATTCAAGAAAAACATTATGAATGTCCTCATATTGACACCGCGCAGACTCTAAATCGTATTGGTAATGCCTTATATAGTCAAGAGAAATATGCTGAAGCTACTGAATTCTATAAACGATCATTAGCTATTCGAGAAAAACTCAATCCATTTGGTGATGCTGGAATTGCTACCGTTCTTTGCAATATTGGAAAAGCCCTCTATGAAGAAAAAAAAGACGATGAAGCTCTTGAGTTCCATCGACGAGCATTAATAGTTCGAGAGAAATTCGACACAAGTAATCTTATCGATATCGCCGATAGTTTGAACTTTATTGGTAATGTCCTATATCGCCAAAAAAGATATTCTGAAGCTACTGAATTCTATAAACAATCATTAGCTATTCGAGAGAAATTACATCCATATGGTAATACTGGAATCGCTACCGTTCTGAGCAATATTGGGGGTGCTCTGCGTGAACAAAGAAAATATGACGAAGCTGTTGACTTTCTACAACAAGCAGTGGTAGTTCTCAAAAATAGTTCACCTACTGATCAACGGGCAATAGCTAGCGATCTCAAGAACATTGGTTATACTCGCTTTCAGCAAAGGAAATATGATGAATCTATCAAATTTTATTCTCAAGCATTGAGCATATTCGAAGAATATTACCCTAACCATCATATTGAAATTACTAGTTGCCTGTCCTGGCTCATTGCTAGCTTTAATAGAAATGCACAGTTTGATCTTGCTATTGAATATTTGGGAAGATGTTTGTTAATTGGAGAAGCCAGTTTGTCTCCAAAAGATATCTCCATTACTACCGTCCTTACATATTTTTCACAGGTACAAAGAACTAGAGGCCAACATGAACTCTCGCTTATATATGAACAGAATTGTTTGTTAATGCGTCTCAAATTGCTACCGCCAAATCACCAAGATATTGGCGATAGTTTATCGACCATAGGTGAGATTTACGAAAGCCTCCATAAACCAGTATTGGCACTTGATTACTATCAACAAGCATTGGCAATCTACAGGAAATGTCTGTATCCGTGGCATGATAATCTCTGGAAGATGGAATTGAATATTGAACGACTTTCACAAGAACTTGGAATACAACCCTAGAAATCACATTTGACCTCTCATAGGTGCTTCTTTTTCTATAGAACATGATTATTATTAAAATACAATGTTGACCAAAAAAATCTTGATAAGAATAGATTGGACGATTGCATGTATCTATTTTCTAACCAAAGATCAAAGCATTTGGAATGCATTTTTTATTAACCAATAATCTGAGAATAAAAGCAAGTACATTCGTAGTTAGATCAGAAAGAATTGCTTCATGTAATACGTTTTCTAGGGATGTTATAGAGGTAATCACAGTTCGTACAACAAGCACATATCATTGTTTCAAGACAGTACACATTATATTCGAAACACATTCAAAAAAGTTTCGAATATATTTGAAATAAGTCTTTGATAACCATACTAAATAATTGATATAAAGATGTCAGCCGTAACCTGAAGTTTCACGAGCGGTGTCAATTTTTTCTGAAGATCAACAATTAATTCACGATGTGGATATGCCCAAGCCAACCCTGCTGGGCCATGAACGACAGTATACCGACGAGTTACGGTGGATAAAAGTAGCTCTTGGCGGTAACCATTTACAACGATCGTAAACGGTACTTTACGATGAAGCATGCCCATCGTAAACAATGATGATAGAAAGTCACTGTTGACGGCTAGCGCAACTATACGGCAAGTGGAATGGGATGTGTTTCATATCATTAGCTCACACCCTTACTTTCTATTTTTAAAGTTGATTATTCAATTAAACTCACCAATGAAATAAAAATATTTCTAAGTCATCATGACGCAGGAAAAGAAGGCGATGGACAAGAAATGTAAAAAGAACAATATAGAAGTGTTGAATAATTTCGAATGTAACTGTATTTTATAATTCTATTTTTTTAATATAATCCATATACTTTGACAAAAATAAATAATTAATATTCTCTCCATCCATATTAACATTAGCAACAATCTATCTCTCTTGATACCACATGTTTTGGCATTATAGTTTTGAACAGAATAAGACTATCTTGTCCTTTTAAACCTATAACAATGCTAATGTATCAATAACACAATATCACACATCTACGTTTCTAATTGACAATTTTCTATACTTAACAACTATTATTATGCTTTTGTTGTTCTTTTTTTTTTCTTAGATTTCTTTCTAGTTCACTATGGCAATAAAACATAATTTCTTTGATTACTTGCTATCCTTTTTTTTTACTTCAAACTTTATGAAGCTAACAATGTCCTATTTTCTTACAAATTACTGGTTCATCTTTTTCGTCAGCATGCTTGCCTTGACATATTACTGCGCAACAATATTGTAATGACTACAGTTTATCAAAGCCAAATGCTATCGTTCACTGTAAGTATTATCTGATCATGCTTTTCAAATATTCGATTGTTTAAGATACTTCATGTAAATTGTTCGAGACCCGTATCTCTAATAAAAAGAGCTCAATTATTAAAGAAAGGGTTCTAGATATGACGTAAATATTTATATTTTCCATTAATATCAAATTAATATTAAGTTATCATAATTTTTAATTAATATACTACTTAATGGTAATGTCGTAGTTTCAAATTCATATCATAGACGAAAAAGGAAAACTCTATCGGCTGTGAACCGCTGAAAGTTTATATATTATTAATTAAGGAACATTTTTATGACGCATGTACAAAAATTTTTCATGTTCAAACATAAAACAAGTTCATTTACTAGTAACACTTGATTTTGTATGTATTTTACTTAGGCTGTTGTTATTAGGAACAGCGTTTCTTATAAGAACAAATTCAATGATTCGCAATCTACCGCTGAGTACTACGTTAATTTTGAAAATAATTGAATGATTTTTGAACCAGCCGATGCAGGAAACATTTTTCCACTCAAAAATGTAAAAAGAATCTATGCTTTTTTTATATAAAAATCTTGAGTAAAAACTTAACTTTGTCACACTTCCAAAAGGGCTGTTGTTAATAGGAACTTTGACAGTGATATTCATTCATTATCAAGGGTTATAATATAATCAGCATAAAACTGAGGCGACAACTGCCTTCATATTGACCATTCTCATCCTTAATGATGAACGAACGTTATCAAATATATCGGCTATTGTTTGTGTTACTTTGTCTATCACTCTTCTATAAATTAATAATCCTTAGAAATTAAGTCATTGATTAACCGCGATCTACCTATTGTGTCTTACACTGCGTGGTATTCACTATTCGGTTTGTTATACTTGTTGTATTGATAAAGTAGACTTGAATCATACTTTATACGTTATCGAGGCTGACTCAGGAGAAAGAACATCATCACTTGAAGTTTAACCGAGCAGCGACCGTAGATTTACATCACTACCACTCATCAACTCATCTACATCTATTGTTGCAATTGAACTAAAAAGTTAAAATATCAAAATCGAAAAATGAAACAAATGATAGTATTAGTGATCATTATTGGACAGTCATATATGAAACTTACAAGCAAACGTCCCCAGTCGTCAAATTACTTTTTGATCGCGTATATACTTACACACATGATACTCAGTACTCTTTAGCACCTCAGACGAATTTAGATCCACCATTAGAAGAGATTCACGTCATGCTATCGTCTACAACATTCGCATTATCAATACAATCAAGTATATCACAAAATAATGTGATAACAAAAGAAGCATCTGTTTCATGTACGAATAATATAACATTTGTTCCACCTTACAAAGAACACTAAGTTAAAATGTGTCGGATGTGTTGTGATTTACGACACAATGCACGACACATTAAAGCACGACACGAGGTGCTCGGTGCGACACATTTTGGCCAACAAGACCACAACACATTTTTTAGGACACATCCGTCACATTTTTCATTGGTTCTTTTGGAAAAGCAAATTTCGATTTTTTTTTCAATTTATTTCCATTTATTTATTCATATTCTGAATAATTCAGACAGGTCATATCCTGAGATCTGGCCGATCTCTAGTCGGTCCGATTTACATCAGACCATTTCAGAATAGTCCTCTCTCGATCGTAGATCGAAATTGGCATTTCCTCGATTAAAAAATGATCGAGAAATAATCTAGAAAAAAAAGAATGTTTTGAAAATTTATCTTTCGTACGTTGAATCGCGTTGTCTATATGTCGCCATGTGTGCATAACAGAACGGTGAATGAATAGTTGACAGATAGAACGCGACAAATTCATATACGACACATTTAAGGCACGACACTTTTTTGTGCTGGAGCGCACAACACAATAAATCACGACACATAAACACGACGCATTTAAATTTAGTGTGAACTTATTAAAGTTATGAATATGAAGTCAATTATTGAAAAAAAGATACCTGAAATAAAGTTGTTTTGAAGAATTCAAACGTCTTAGATATTCACCACTTCACAAATGTCTTTATTGTATTGCATGTTCTATTTTGCACAACAGTAAAAGAAGTTCGTTCATTTGAAGAACTAGTCGAAAATCCTCTGACTCACTACAAGCACTCACTTGGAAATGTCGGACACTTATTGCTTTATCAAAGAAAAAAATAAATAATTTTATTTATATAAATTTAAAGAAACGTGACGCGTTAGTTTAGGTAAGTATGCAAGAGTGTTAGCTAAGCAAATATTCAGAAAAAACCATCGTTCACGATTTACGTGAAAAACGAATGATTCAAAAAGCAAATACTGAAGAAAAATTTTTGCACAAATCGTTTTTTTCTGTGGCATTTTAATTTGTTACGAATTTTTCTAACTGAAAGAAGAAAGATTTTGGAGTATCCTAGTGATTAATGGAAAAATATTTACAAAATCCAATTTTAGAAAACCGTGCACGAGTAAGAGCAACAAAGCGAAATATTTCTCTACATGGTCATTGCGACAATGGTAATACAATTATAGAAAACGAAGCATCACTAGCAAAAGAAGGAAATTCTCATGCTTTATTACGATATTGTATTCAAAGTGATGACGAAGTACTTGAGCAGTATCTGGACAAATGCAACAAAAACGCATCGTATATATCGAAAACAACTACAAATCAGCTAATGCACAGTTATTAGTAAATAGATTTTAGAATAAATTATTAACACGGTTAAAAAAAGTACAACTTGATACGATATTATTAGACGAAACAAGAAAATTAGATTTTTTGAAAATCTCTTTCATCTCTTATACGTGTTGCCATGTGTTCTCGCTAAGTTTAACTGATATATCAAATATTGAACAAGCTAGTCTTTGCATTAAATACATCTTAAATGATCAAACTTAGGAAAACTTTTTAATGTTTGTTCCGATTACTGATCGATCAGGCGCTAGGCTAGCAATTATAATTATTCAATCCATTTTAGATTTAGGTACAGATTAGATTTTTTGACTCGGCAAAATATTCGATGATTATTTTTTTGTTTATAGGATAAGGTCTATTTTTCTGTGTTGGACCAGGATCTGATGGCTGTTCAGTAATATCAGGTATAAGAACTATTCTTTTTTTGAATTAACCGCTTGACGGGTCGTTTTCTAATTGTTTATATCTTATACTTTGTGCAGGATGTATCAAAGGCTATCATGCAGTGATTCGAGAAAAATATCCACATATACCATACGTTCATTGTACGTCTCATTCGTTCAATTGAGTGACAAATGATAGTTCTGAAATATATTCAATATAGAACACGATGGGTACAAAACAAGAAATTAATAATTTCATTCGATTGCCATGAGTTTGTACTCAAGTTTTTGATGAATTAGCATGTGAAGCAAAAAAGAAACGAACAACAGTATTAAATGAGAATATTGAAACATTATCTATATAGTCATCAGAGAATATTACAGCTGAAGGAGGATGTAAGCAATTAAGTTGGTGAATGCCTGCATGACCAGATGGGTTGAACATCAGATAGCTGTTGAAACATTTAATTGTTTATTTTATTTTGTTGTTGAATAACTAACTGATTTAATGAAATTCAAAGATAGAATATCATCAATTAGATCAAATATGTATTTTACTGCAATAATATCTACAGAGGTTGTATGTTCATTAACA